TCGCGGGAAGCGCTTCCAGCTGCATCAACGGCAGCTTCCCCGGTAGCAGCGCTTGGGCGGAGGGTGCTGGGGCCGATTCCTGCCCCACAGCCAGTGCCCGGCGTCGCCCCCAGCTCAGGGCCAGCGCAGCACCGCCAGGACTCGCTGGCAGCACTCTCACAGCTCGGGCAGGACACGGCCAGCGCAGCAGCTGCTCCTCGCCTCGCTGAACTTACCAGGTTTTAACTGGCCTCTCTAGGCAACCATTAAGTCAAGGGCCTGGAGCTCCTTGCTGTACCACCCCAAGACAACGCTCCCCTTCGCATCCAAAGGATGGAAATCGGTCTTGGTGGCCAGATGCATCCCCTTCACACCCGAAGGACAGAAATCTTGGTGGCCAGATGCAGTTCAAGAAGCAAAAGGGAACGGAGCCGCCCCAGCTGTTCCACCGCCGACAGACGGCACAGCAGATTGTAGAGGAAGATTCCTGACGACAGCAGGCAAAAGCATCTATTTTGTGCCTTGCTGCTGTGCCAAAACTCCCTCCTGTCCTTCTAAGGGTTTTCCTTCAACTTCTTCGTGTTTCCTGATAGAGCACACCACCACTTCCCCAACACCCAGCTAGGAGACAGCAGGATCTCCCTCGGGGGAGCGAAGCGGAGCAGCCTGGAGCTGCCTCGCAGCCCTGCCCGCCGTCTCCAGCGTGCGGGGAGGAGACAGACGGGGCAGCGCCCGACCGAGGGAGCTTCTCGGCTCAGCATGTCAGAGGAGCCCAGAGCACCGCACGAGGGCTGGAGCACACAACCGGCCTTTCCCCCCCCCCACCTCATCCCTCACCTACACGGTGCCTCCCTCCGGAACCAAGCCGCTCGGGGAAGCAGTGCCTCGCCCCATGCCCCCTCCCGCACGGGTACCACCACAGCAGGAGGTCTCCTGGATGGCCGTAGCTCAGGCTTTCCAGTGAAGTTTCACCACTACACCGCCATCAGCCAACCCCTCGTCCTTCAGCGCGGAGCAGCTCCGCTCCCACAGTCCCCGCGCCAGGGCGGCAGCAGCAGGGAGCACCACGCAGCAGCACCACGCAGCTCTCCTGCTGCCAAAACGCCTCCTCGGCTGCCAGAGCTGGAAGCCAGACGGCGGACCGTGCCCAGCCACCTCCCAAGCCAGCAGCCAGCTCTTCCTCTGGAGTCCAGTGAATTTCCCAGCCAAGGAGCCCTGCACTGGCACAGCCACCTCGGGCACTGTCAGAGTGGAACGAGAAGCTGTGATAAGGGCGATGGTGACCTGACCATGTCCAGCTCCTGGGGTGCCCTGCTAACAGACACAAGTCCGCTCACCATTTCACGGCAAAGCCAGGAACACACCTACCTTTAGCCACCTTCCCAGGCCCTGACAAGGAGCTACTTTGCAGGAGTGATCGAAGCAACAGGCACGGCCCGTTCGACCCCACCAGTGCAGGAACTCGCCCTCTGGGTGGAGTTCACTAGGGCGACCCGACCCCAAACCCTCACACCAGGAACCACAAACACGACAACCAAGCAGTAGGTGGGACTCTGGCCGCTGCCACACAGTCCCTGGATGAGCCTTGGAGACTCTTTTAATTTTCAGAGCGACAGTAACATGTGTGTAACAGCAGCGGGCTCCAAAACGCACCGCACCGGGCATCCACCACGCGGGTCTAAGCGGCCGTCACCCCCCCTCCTCGCCGCAGCCACCGCCGAGAGGGGACCCGGCCTCTGCGCAGGGAGAGCTCAGCTGCCGGGGGGCTGCACCACCTCGTGGTCCCACGAGCTCCAGGGGCTCCCCCTCGCCCTTTCTGTGAAGAGCACGGACAAGTGGAGCAGCGAGAGCACGGAGGTGGAACAAGACTCTCCAGCAGGAGGGAGAGGAGGAAGCAGGGGGCTGAGGAGCCGGCAGGAGGTGCCACCACCACGGCCCCTGTGCCGGTGGGCAGCGGGGAAGGCAGCGCTGGGCTGCACAACCACCGCTGGGGCAGGCGCGGAGGGACAAGGACCTCCCAGATCCAGCTACAGCATAAACTCCTCCCGACAGCGCCCGCAGGAGGTGTGTGGGTTTGGCAGCACTTGTTCTACTCCCGTGAGTCCTGTTCATCAAGGTAAGGCGCTGCGTCATGGCAGGGGATCGTTTCTATAGATTAAGAGATATAAATAAAGCCCAAGTCTGACCAGGGCAAGTGCAGGCACGGAACAGACGTGGCATCTGACTGACATCTGAAAGCCAGCGCTGCCCCATAGCCCGGCCTCTGCGTAGCTGAGAGCAAGAAGAGGTTTTACTTTAGGTCAAGGCACTGCAGGAGTCTCTGCCCGTGGCAGCGGATCACCACGACAAGTCCCAGAGTCCATGTAAACCCAGCGCCTCAACAGAGCCATTTCCTACCTTCAGTCTTTGGTAAGTGCCAGCATCACCAATGCCCTGCACGAGCCCAAAACGCGCTGCAGGGACAGGGCCCTATGATTTCCCCCGCCTCAGGGCAAGGCAGGCGGGAGACCCCACAGCCACAGCCCAGAGCCTCATGCCTCCGATGGAATCAAGGGCTTTGAGACTTTGGAGACGAACTCCCTTTCTGCACAGGCCGAGACTCGCTGCCCCAGCGCCGGCGTTCAAAGCAGGTTCACCCCGTGCTTCAGCAGCTTCTGCTTGGCCTTGCTGGGCAGGCTGAACGCGCTGTCCTGAGGGTTGGGGACGCCCGAGTTGCGGAGCGGAGCGCCCAGCTGCTGGAAGTAGGTTTCCTGGACGGGGCTGCGGCAGGCGTACAGGGCGGTGGAGGCGTTCCTAGCGGGGCAGGAGAGAGGCAGAGGTCAGGATTTACAGGATCTTTGTGCGAGAGCTGCTTCAGCTCACCGGGCTGGGCGTTGGGATGCTGAGGGACTCCCAGCTGTTGAGAGGGACTGCAGGTCTCTCTCAGCAGAGCGAAGGAACCCAGCGCGAAAACGGGCACTGAAACCCTGCCGCGTGTTACCAGAAGGCCAGCGGGAAGCAGACCCTCCTTCTCAAGGGTCCTGGCATCCTAAAAGAGAAACTGTCACACGTCCCATCCTCCGGGACCTGCTCAGCAGCGTTAACACCCGCGCAGGCAGCCGTCCCTCGCTGGCAGCCCAGCCCAGCACACCAAGAAGCGGCAGTTAAACACCCCTCAGGTCTAACACCCCTTTTCCTGAGGAACCTGCTGCTGCCTCCCACTGCTGCTGGTCCGTAAGCAACCCCAGCCCGGCAGCCCTGCAGCAGGAGCCGTACGAGGCCGTTGGGTCGCACGTGTGATGCAGCTCAGACAACAGTCAGACACCGGAACCACGAAAGCTGAAGTCGCGGATTAAAACCCACCGCTCGGTGTTTACCTGCGAGAGGGCTGGCAGGGAGCAAAGCACAGGACTCTCTCTTCCTCCTTGGCGGAGGAAAGCAGCAACTGATTTGTTTGCTGACACCCTTCTGTGACAACTCCCCGTAACAGAAAGCAGATTTAGTCATCTTGTTACTCAGCCTGATTCACAGAGAGTTGCTTTTTTTGGGGCAACACCAAACACACCAGCTTAGCCGGCACAGGATTTAAGGAGCCAGTCGAACTAACGCTAAACAAGGAGTTCTCCAGCACTGAAGTGTATGATTCACATTCCCTTGGCAAGCTGTGCCAGAGGAGCGAAACGCTGCAATTCCCAGAAGCAGCTTTATTTCACTGTGTTTCGGAGAAAAGAGCAGAGCCGGGCAGGCCGAGCCCCGGCACGCTCACCACAGCCCCGTCCTCCCCGGGGGCAGCGGGAGCCGGGGGCAGCGCCGCGGCACGAGAGCCGCTGGGTGAAGGGCTCTGGCTGGGAGCAGACCGGCCCGCTTGGCGCGTTACCATCGCGTTTGCCACGCACATCGCAGCGTGTTTCCAGCCCAACAAGCCGTGCAAGAAAACAAAATCTAGGTTGCCAATTCTGGGCGCCTTTGGCTCCCGGCTGAGACACAAATTTATTAGGAACAGCTATATTTAAAACTGTGCCTTAGAACCTCATGGTGCCAGGAACCGGCAATGTTCTGGTGCTGTCTCTCAATCCAAACCCGGGGCACGACCCAGCTGTGCCTTCAGCTCACTCGCCTCGGTGCTGGCCCGGCCCCTCAGCACCCAGGTGACACCGCGGGCAGAGCACCACGCAACCCACACCCAGAGAGCAAATCTCAGGGAATACGATGTCGTGATCGACCCCTGGCCAGACAGCGGTGGGATGACGGGTGCCAAAGCTCAGCCAGCCTCAGGAACGGGGTGTCCCCCCTCTCTGCCTGCTCTGCGTGCCACACAGCCCCCCTGTGCCGGGCAGAGGAGGGGTCAGGAGCCCACCTTACCGGATGATCACCTCCGAGGCAGTCGGGAGCTGGCCGAAGTCGGAGTGGATCAGCGCGGCCGCCCTCAGGAAGTGCCGATCCAGAGGGCCGGGCGTCTGGGGTAGGTTGGCTGCGGAAGGGGAGGAAGGGGGTGTGAAAAGCCCGCTCTGCGGAGGAGCGTGCCCCCACCTGCCGAGCAGGGGAAGGCTGCGGGCCTCTCCCCCAGACCCTGGATATCTGCAGAGCAGAGACAGGGCGACACCTTAAGCCCCAGGGTGACCTCAGTGAAATCGGTCTGTGACGCGCACGGCGGTCAGCCCCGCCAATAAAAGTCCTGGTGTGGCTTTCCCTGCACGTACACACATCAGAGGGGGGATGAGAAGGCCTGAGACCAGCAGGACCTCAAATCACTGGGGTTCCTCT